CATGCAACCTATGAATCCATAATATCATGTGAAACGTTGATTGCGTATCAACAGTATTTTAAAATGGTTTGCTGAATTAAGAACTTACAGTTAGGTCTGTGAGCACTTGTGAAGTCAACTGAAAATATAATAAGAAATAATTTTGTCAATATAAATGTTTACCAGAAACTAATATAAAACCGGAAACTGATATTCCATTGCAGATCAAAAGTGCATTTAGCTCAACCCTTCTTTGGATCGCCATCCACGTTTATTGACTCCATCTTTTGCGTCGTGTAAAAAAGTGCGACTCGTAGCATTCATGGCTCGTGCTATTTGTTTATCTGAACAGGTCGCAGTCCGGAACCATGGACACATAACGTTTATAAATATATCAAGACTGCTGTCTGAACTCACTTTGAATCGTTCTGTCGAATCTGTAATTAATAATACTTATTTAACTTTTAGTTCCAAGTATGGTATAAGTAATTACCAGTCCCGGCGTCAGCAAGTAGGCTAGACGAGCTTTGTTGGACTTTAAAAGATCATCACATACGATCTCTGACAATCTGTTTGCCTAAAATTTCATAAGCAGCTGTCAAAACTTAAGAACTGGTCACAAAATTTATTCCTCTAATGCATCTTCAACAGAACGCATTTCCTCAGATGCTTTCATTGGGTACGCGCAAACTGAAGTCTTCGTGCTACCACTATACCTATCATTTACAAACATGGATGATATAAGCAGTTAGTTTGTTCATCTTGCCAGACAGTTCAGTAACTGCTTTCATAATTATTTTCGACGATCTCTTTCTATGATCATTGTGCAACCTTTTGATATCATGATTGCAATTACTCCTACTTACGTGTTATTAACTGCCGTTGAAGTAGATGGAGGCGGTGATGAGAACACCTTTGTTTTTGAAGGACTATTTTATGAGCATGTACTTAGTAGATACTTACTTATCTACTAGGGAAAAGTTACCAGTCAAAATGTTGTCAACAGGAAACTCAACTGCGACACATGCAGCTTTCATTTCAACAACCTCTTGTTCTTCAGAGGTGCGCGGGTAGTCGTTCAGTTTGCGTCTAACAGCCCTTGCAATGAATGGATTGCGTATGTTTATCAGGCCACGTCTTCGGCTTCTCAATTCCATACAACATCTTGTCATCCTCAAGTGCGTTAGTGCTTTTGTAGCTAAGTACTTCAGTGAATGATACCTTTAGTCCCTCGACTATATGATGTTTATCTGGGATCAATGATTTAAGGTGACGACAACTTACCGCAATGATGAAATGCAGGGAAACTGTCTCGTGTCTACTTGACATGCTAAAACAAGGCTCAAACGTTTGTGGTGTAAATGAAGACCTAGCTTAATTACCATGTAATAAAATATTCTAATTTGCTGTAACTACGTTGAAAAAGACCTAAACAATGTCCTTAATACCAAATATTTATTCCCAGAACAGTGTAAAATGGATTTACAGATTACCTCGTAATTATTATCAGTGGCCTTATTCAATATTACTTTTTGGTGAAGAATAGAATTCTTGGCGTAATATGTTTCAAAAATTTCCCTTTACAGAGCAAGTAAAAATTTTAAAAAAATGACATTTGCATGCATATATACATAAGTTAAGTAGATGAACTATCTGGAATTAAATCAAATGCCTTTTCAAGATGATTTAGATCTTCACTGGAGACATTTTCTGCTAAGGTGATCGCACATCAGTTAAAGTTTACTACAAAGGCCAGAATCTTCCAGAACGATATCCGCTTGCTCACTTTCCATATATTCGATTTCCCTCATGACCTTCAGCCTCTAATTGGTTGCCATGTTTTTAGTGCGCTAAGGCGCTACATGTTTGAAGGTCATATTACGTTGGCATAACTTTAATACCAATTTCCCTTAAGTTGCTTGTTCTATCACAAATACTAAGTTACCTGCAATTCTATCTTCTTCCTGTGTTAGCCATAGAGGTTTGATGTGTTGGGTAAAGCTGATCATATCAGTTCCGAAAAAACCCACTCGTATTATGGTAGCTCATCTCCACACTTTATTTTATTCCGAACCATGTTTTTTATCATAAAGCAGACTAGATGAAAATAAGCGTTACAGAAACTGGTGTGTTAAACAGTAACTAATGATTCTTAAATAATGACTGTCGACTTTTTTCTTGACTAACATTGCAAACCACTCACCTTATTTAACAATAATCCATTATGTGTGCATTTTCTGGAACCATTGAATCTGTACATACTGTTTGCTACTCGCCTGAAACAAATTGTCGTGTTGTTATAAGTGTGTGTGTTATTGATCGTCCATCGACTTCAGTGTTTAAGAAGATGGTTACTTATGTGGTTTGTACTTCGTAATGGGCTGAGTCTAGTTTTAATAGTTCATATTCTTATGGAATCCAGTAGAATATGACGGCAATGACACCAGTATGCCACAAATGTTTAACAATTTCACTTGAAAATCTTTTTATCTACCTCATAATGCCTAACAAAGTCCATCATAAAATATCAATCACGATTTTCGTATTCCATGTGGATATGACGAATCTTTATGCGTTCTGGTAAAACAATTGTTCTGAAAAAGGGTGAAATATTCATATTCAAAACGCTCTCACAACTCAACATTTCGTCGCAACATACTAGATATTGGTATTCGCACCCGTGAAAACCTAAAATTTCTTAGTCTTCATATGTGCAGTATTGGCCTAACTACCAGTTCATTCTCTAATACTTGCAATTACTTCCTCCGCCGATAGTGATTGTAATATCACTGGCTTAAGATATTCTTGATCTTTTGAGAACAATCTTCTGGTACTTGGATCATAAATCATCAATGAGCTACTACGAAAATGAAGTATCTTCAGTAGTTTTATGACATATTCTTCCCCTTGGAAAGTTACACGGAACATAGACTGACATTTCAGAAACTTAAACCTTAAACGCTGCATATAACCCAAAGTCCGAAAGGTTTTCAATTCACTGTTAGACCTTGTGGCCTGCGCTTTTGGTAGAATGTGCAATGAAACACCATAAGCATTTATCCGAGTCTCATGTCCTTCAAAAATTTACCTTCAACATGAATATAATGGGTGTGGGTAGTCTGACAAGAGATAACATTATCCTTATCCTATTTGTTGGGACTCGCTCAGCCTTCGAAAATCCTGTCCAGTATTAGACGTTGACATGGCTCTCCTCGGTCGACTGAGATATCTCTTGAACGTAAAGCACTACAAACAGTGCTAAGTAATTATACAACAAACCAAGCAGTTAATTACTGCAATAATACTTTACTAAACGCAAAACGTATTACTATCATTTATGATAGGAGCTTGAAACTTACGGGTTATTCGACACTTCATCTTGGACTTTGTGGAAAAGAGTGCTTTGCATCAAGTTTACGTTACGACAATTACCACGTTATTCTAATTCATATAACGTTTTTTTCTTAAATCATCATGTTTAAAACAAAAGCAGTGAGGTTCAGTAGAACTAGAGGTTTCCGAACTGAAGATACAAAGCAGAAATCGAGTCAAAGTGAAGACTACTGAATGGAAATATCAGTTAATGATATTCACAAGCAACCTATTGGGTACCCAGCTAACATAGGAATTGAAATACAGAGTAGCCACTGCACGCTAGGTAGTCAAAAATCGTTGGAACAAAATGGTAGGTGTCTTCGAGTGAGCCTGACGTTATCGCCGTGCCAAAAGTGGACAATTAACCTTCAATTGTGGAACTGAGTCACTGATATCTTAAGTAATGTTCATACTGACGAACACTAATGAATCGTACTTTAGACCACGTAGTGTACGCACTGTAGAAAAAATAGTCATAACTCTTTTTCGGTAAACTGTTTAACAAAATTGACTCCTAACTAAGCTCTTGCGTTTAATTTCTCTTTTTCTAAACTAGCCAGCGAGTCTTCATGATAAATGCCTAAATCTATTAGTATACCGAAATTACTGAGGGACCACGCCCACACTACTTTATCTAAGTTGCCCTTATCCACCGATATTTTTGACTAAATGGATTCTCAGTTGGATAATACAAGGGTTTTATCACTCTGTATTTCAGAATATAATAACTTTTTTTCCGATTGACTTTGTGGACTTGTCGGAATGAAAATTGTGGTTTCCCTTAGGAAAATATATACATTCACTGACAGATAAATTAGGTAATTTCACTAATATTAACAATACCTTTGGAAGACAGAACGGGGCGCCTCGAACTATTTTTGTCATCGCAGCTCATATTACTGTTTGATTTATTACTGTCTTATCGTGCATTAAACAGTGGTCTTAGTAATGTATGTTCTATCCTTTGTTTCATCTAGGACTCATTATCCGAGAAGTCATTCAAAGTAATTTCAAAACCTAAAAAGAATCACCTGGGTTCGTTTCTCGCTCGGATATCCTGAAAAGAATGCAGAGAGCAGCTATCCATGCAGTTCCAGGACTCCTGGGTTTGCTGTACAAAAAGCAGATTCAAAACCCAGACCTTTTTATTCGGTCCTATCGCAGGTTGAGGTGGTTTGATTTTGATGTATAGAACACTAAGAAGTGATATTGGACCCAATATATCCTCGCTTCTTCTTCCAACTAGATCGGGACATCTCGGAGAACGTAGCGGGTGAGTATGAAAACCAAGAACAGACCAAATACCAGTGGCATACAAGTTTTCAGACAGAGTCGTCGATTCTTGGAACTTGTTACCCAAAGCAGCCGTATCCACACCTAAAAACTGACTCATTCAAAAGAAGACTAGACACCCACAGAAACACACTAGAAAAGGGACAACATAGGCGGTAGGCCATCTGTCCTTACTGAACAAATGTGAAATTTGAATCTGAATCTGAGTAGTCAGTAACTGGAAATTTTTTACCTAGCATGTGGTGTTGGCTCTTTCTGTTGATAAATTCAAGGTAAGACTGGATCTCCACAGAAATACAAACTTTCGGGATTAAAGTGAGTCGCTTAACTTCCTTTCCTTACTACTGAGGACTGAAAACTAAAGACTGAGGTGGCTTTTACGAATCGTTTTCGCCACATGAGTTTTGCGCTATTTTGGCGGGTTCATCAAAAGTTTGTTGCGAACATTCCGTGCAAATTAACACTTTGCCTTCCCAAAATCACATTACGTTTAATAACTGGCGGTGTTCACTCTGCGCAAATAATAAATATGAATGGAGTTACAGATATAGACTCATTACGTGCTAAGGTTCGCGCTCAGGTAGCTTTCATGTCATTATTTACATTTTTTCAGGGTGATATAGTACGACGTCTGAAGGAAGAAAAAGCATCTGACAGCGCCCTTAAGGAAGCTATCTCTGCCTTAAAGGCTTACAAAAAAGCTTTGGATGATAAGGTTAGCCTATTACTAGGTTACTATAACTTCTAGGAAATTGAGCTGTCTCCTAAGGATCCTTCTTTTGATCGTGGTAAACTAGAGGATCTTTTGAAACAAAAGTTTTTCTATGACCAATCTTTCTCTATTTACGGAGGTGTGTAGACATTTCATACTAATTATTAAAATTTGTGTATAGTTAGAATTGCTCCATAACCATTCTGTGTTTTCACCGAATTATTTTAGGTATTCAGGGTCTCTATGATTATGGCCCGATGGGTTGTGCTATGAAAGCCAATTTACTTTCTGCTTGGCGTCAATTCTTTATTTTGGAAGACCATTTATTAGAAGTCGACTGCTCTATGCTTACACCTGAACCTGTTTTACAAGCATCTGGACATGTCGATCGATTCACAGATCTAATGGTCAAAGATGTAAAAACTGGAGATTGTTTCCGTGCTGATCATTTGGTAAAGTCAGCACTCGAAGCCAAGAAAAGCAATAAGAAAACCCCTGAAAATGAAAAACAGGAAATCGATAGGATGATCTTACAGGTAATTAGTGCTGCATTGCGTTAGAGTTAAATATTTTAATACTTATTACTAGTTTGACCTCAAATTTTTCGGCTAATTCTTTCCCATTGCTTCTTGGTTGATTGCATTGTCAGGAAAATTCCTTGGTCGTTCTGTTATTAATAGATTCTACAGTCAAAGTCGAATTTTTTTTTGCAAAGGCAATTTGCATCTTTGATATCTATAGCTGAAGTTAAGTCCATCAGTCTTGCAATAAAAAAAACATGTACTGTTCGTCGTCATATTAATCGTTACACACGAATAGTATATGACAAATCAACTGAATAGAAGGCGATAAATCGATCATAAGATATCGCACATTTTAAGCGACCTACATGATATTTATTCTAGTTATCATCCATCTAGTCTTATCATTCATGTTAATCAACTGTTCTGGTGTTTTAAAATGTTGCTTGTCATGTTTAACCTCCATTCGAATTAAAATATAAGATTTTATGAATGTGGTCGTTATGATGCCTCCTAAACCTAGATTGTAAGTATACCAGTTTAAGATTAGGACCAATTTTGTCACATTAAAAATGTCCAAATATAATAACGCAATAAAATATTCACATTTATAGACCATAGTAGTGATGATTGTCATTCTCTTTTAGTCCTTCAGTGCTTAAGTAATCCTACCGATCAAATGCACGTGTTAAGGCACTTGAGCTAGTGACCACATCTCATCTTGGTCTCTAAAATTCGATCACCGCTGAAGGATTAGACGAACATCACATTGCTGACGATTGTAAACATTTTAATCCTACGAGAAGGCAGTCACAGTCCGAACAGTGCAATAGTAACGTTACAGTAAATCGAGGTAAGGACAGTTCAAATCCCACGAGGAGCATAAACCTCTATATTGTATGTCTTGGTGATCAATACCATCTGGTATGAAAATTAGGTTCCTAGTTTCCTACAGACTACCTCTAATCAATCAGTCAGTCAATAGCAATAAAATACGTTCGACTGACATTTTGGGATTTAAAAAGTTTACGTCAATCAGCAACTCATTAATAAGTTTGGATCAGTTTTGTAATGCTTACGATAGGACAAAAGACTCAGTGATTATCTTTGTAAAATTATATATCAGTCTAGTGATTATGAGGTCCTTACTAATTATTGCAGTTGGGTCAAATTATTTTTATCTTTTCATAGTGACCGTACTTTGCACAGCTATGAAATATCCTAAATATCTTTCTTACCTTACAAGTCTCACTAGAAATCAGAGTGCAACAAAATTATTTTAAAACACAAATGAAGCAGTCATTTTCCTGGCCGAAGCATCTTGTCTATTAGTCGTGCCGAATCTGTGTACTGCTAGGATTAATTTATACGCATATTGGTATATAAAAATTTGGTCTTTCTGAAAACTCATATTTTGACGTTGATATATCTCTCCAATCCATTTGAGTGCACATTTTTCACAATAATTAGTCGTCAGTCCATCGGTCATGAGCAACGTAGGGTGCTGCACATAGCTATATCTGTTTAGGTTGCCACACTATTAGCACACCTAGAAATTATCATATATCAGAGTAGTGGAAGCAATTGAAATATTCATTCGGGGTTGCATACTTTTATCATGTGGATATTTTACAAATTCTGATCTTTATTTCTGTAAATCATTTTCCTACATTTCAGCTGGACAACTATGGGGCAGACGAGCTACATCAAATTATACGTCGTTTTGATATCAAATCACCGACAACAATGAACGACTTAACTGAACCAAAAGAATTTAACTTGATGTTTTCAACAATGATTGGTCCTACCGGCCAATGTAAAGGGTAAGCTACTTGTGCCGTTTTCTTAGCAATTTACTTGTTTGTGGTGACTTTACGTAGCTTTACAGGAAATATCGACGTATCAGGCAGTTGAGTATGAGCCACACTGTAAGCGTGAGTCCCAATGGTACTGTTTGGTTGCTCAAACCGAAGTAGGTAGAGTGAAGTTTGAACCTGGTATTTAGTGGCCGAAAGTCGAACGCCTTAACGACAAAACCCACTCCTTCACGAATGAATTTATAAGCCTATAGAAGATTATCTCTGTCGTATTTGTTAACTATAATACATTTCAACCTTTATCACTTCCACAAAATATAAGTAATTAAATATTTGATATTATAAATAATCTAACATTTCTTTTCTAGTTATCTTCGCCCGGAGACTGCCCAAGGGATTTTCGTCAATTTCCAGAGGCTCTTACACTTTAATCAAGGTCGTCTTCCTTTTGGAGCTGCTCAAATCGGTTCTGCATTTCGTAATGAAATAAGCCCGCGTTCCGGTCTAATTCGCGTCCGAGAGTTTACCATGGCGGAAATTGAATATTTTGTAGATCCCAGTGACAAACGTCATCCCAAGTTTGAGGACGTGAGAAATACAGAAATGGTACTTTATTCGTCATGTGATCAGATGAGTGGCGAAAGACCTCGAAATGTTACTATTGGTGAAGCGGTCGATAGAGTGCGTTAAACTCCCAATCAGTTTGGTTTTTCTTTTGCTGGGCACTAATATAATTTCAGTATATAACTGGCCAAGTCATGTCAACGAGTTTGATTAAGATAAGCAGGTTTCATCCAATCATAGTGTTAGTGTTTCATCAACGTTCGAGATCATCTATGACTGGGAAGAATAGGTAACATCGTAATTTGACTAATAAAGACAAAAACGGATAATCCAAGTGAAAAATAATGGTTATGTTCATTAATTTCATCCACATTGGAAGCATCTTGCATAGTTTGTTTGCATCCTGACCCTAACTTTTACCTTGACGTGGTGGCGAAGCTTACATATCCAGTCGAGCTATATTATCTGCAACGCTTGTTCCTCTAGATTCTGTCATGTCAAGCAAGTCCTTTGGGTAACGGTTCGAGAGTGAAGTCGCACGGATGAGTGTGACGGTAGTCAAGTATTTCCTTCAAATAACTAGCATCTATGTTAATTAGATAGGTAAGCAAATCGGTTAATGAGGTAGTGAAACTTCATCAACTAAGGTGGTTGAGACACGTCACGTGTGCCTAATCACTGCCTACCTCAAAGAGCGTTACTTGGCAATGCAGGAGTAGTTAGGAGAAAGGGTAGGGTCGGTCAAACCGAAATTTGGGCTCAGTCACTTACTTTCGGTCTGAGGCAAGTAGTCAGATGCAATTACCTAGTGAGGATTTACGTGATAACAGAGACCAATGACTTGAAACTTTTGGTAACATGCCTGAAATTTGTTCGCAGTGATACGGATGCATTCTCGATTTCCAATCCCAGTATTCCTTCATACTTACCTTCCACTTCATCCAGCGATTTAGTCTTTCATTTTTCACTATCATTATATTACTTCAATCTCTTTCGTCACTTTCATCCTGTCGTGCCAATCCAGTATGGGGCGCTAGGGCCAACTCACCTGTGTTCCAAGTCCTTTATTGATGATGTCTGTCTACTTTTCTTTGTATAACATCTCGGTTATTTATAATGTGACCATGGCAATGATTGTTTTTCAAATGATTAGTGCTCATATAATCCTGGTGATACGCAAGTTCTTTTACTTATCGATGTTTGAGAAGCCATGTTTATCCAGTTCAAATATTATGTTCCTATTTGTTAGGTGCGTCTTTACGTAAACGCGATTGTTTGGTTGTATTTTGTTCATTTCCCTATAATAGAATAATGTACTGTTGTTTATTATCTTCGTTCACGCAACATACAGAAACAATTATTAGTTTACATCATATTAAAGATTACCATGTTGACTACAAAATTATGGGATATATAAAATATTTGATACACTTTCTTCATATTTAACTTATTAGTGTCACTCACATCTTTTTAATGGTCTTGAAAAATCTGCGTCAGTCATATATACCTTTGAATTCTGGTACATTTGAGTACCAAAACATGTATACATCATAGAAAAACTAAAATTCATTGATAAAGAAACAAAAGAGTAGGGAGTACAATGAAAATCAAATAAATGAGCGATAATAGTACATAATAAGGAATATTACCCAGTTAAATTTTCAGTCAACAAATACCTCTTTCAGTTAGAAAGTGAGTTCCTCCCACTCCCATGAAGAATATATAAGAAAACTACAGACCCACTAAATTCTTTTCTAAGTTATATCTGATAACATCTCAATCCACTGAGTTACACAGCATCGCATTTCGATTTTGTTCATACTATACTACCATATACTATATTTAATTATCTCTAGAATTTATTGATCAGTGATTTAAACTTTATATTCACTACTTGTATTTGATCATGTTTCTTTCTCGACCCTATGATTAGCGAACAAAACATTAGACCAGTTAGGTCGTGTTGTAACTAAATATAGTAGTCATGAATCACGAATTCTGCTATTAAATCAAACAGTTTATCTGAATGACTTATACAAATAACTCATTCAGTGGTTACTGTGACTTTTATGGGCAATGAATACTATGTTGACAGTAAAGAGAATATTTGTTGTACATACTTCACCTGTTAGTCCATTCCCAGCAGGATTTCATATGACAGATGCTTACATCATTGTGAACAGATTGATTAACCTAAATAGATCTATTTTTCAAATCGAAATCTTTTCATTTCTGTATGACTGAATGCTGAGTAGTGTATACACTTCTCTATGGTATTCCATCACCCGGTTCCCCACTTGACGTAATCCGCCTCCAATGGGTAAATAATGTAATGTCTAGTTCTTAGTGCTGAACGAAGTTTATTCCTTTTTATGCGGCCGCTGGGTTGAGAGATCTGACGTCATGTTGTGACTCGAGTAGTTGTGCAACGATAACTCTAGACTTGAATAACAACAAAATAAGTTTACTTGACTTTAGGTCTTACTAGTGGTCGTCAGAAACTAAAGGTTTTTTAGTGCTTTTTTAATCATCTATTGTTTTACATATGATAATATAAATAATTGTATTGTAATATTTCCATCGATCCTTTTGTCTTTGTAGGGTGTTGTGGCAAATCAGACGTTAGGATACTTCATGGCGCGAATACACTTGTTTTTAATCCATATTGGTGTTGATGCAAAACGACTACGATTCCGACAGCATTTATCAAATGAAATGGCCCATTATGCCTGTGATTGTTGGGATGCTGAATGTCAAACAAGTTACGGTTGGATTGAATGTGTTGGTTGTGCAGACAGAAGTTGTTATGACTTAAATCAACACAGTAAAGCTACTGGTACCCGTTTAGTTGCAGAGAAACCTTTAGATGAACCTGTAAGTATTCCCCCTTATTTTTTTTACCTCTTATGATGAGAGTAATGGTGGCCTGTTGCATCTAAGCAAACATTGTAACTGCCATTTTTCATAATGATTCTTAAATGAAATTTCTTACAGCATTATTCACTACCTATAATAAAAATGTACAGTTTCTCAATAATGAATCAGTGGTAAACGATTTAATTACCTCGTCATCTGAACACATGTTAATACATAGTATTTTGAAAGTGACTTTGACATACATACTTCCGTTCAGATTAAAGATAAATCCTTGAAAAAGTAAAAAAATGTTTTTATCTCGCCTTTATTTTTTTTTGTTAATTGTACAAATATGATTACTGTATTATTATTTTTCTTTCCAATCGTAGAAAACTGTACAAGTCTGTGAATGTATACCCAATAAAGGTGAGTTAGGAAAAGTATTTCGAGGAGAAGCGAAAACCATCATACAACAATTGAGCTCACTTACTCTCGATGAATGTCATTGTCTAAACAATGAGTTGAAAAACACCGGGTTAGTTTCTGATATATTGCTGAATAATCAATATTTTATCACTTCACTGTAGCTATAGGTGCTTTAAATTTTACTTCCTAATAATTTCATTCAAATCTTTTGGTTACAAATTCAGTAATCTTAGTTTTCACTTCGTAATTCACCAGTTTATAAGAATATTTAGAATTCAACCAATAGGTCAAAGGTCCAAATACTGCTCCACCTACCATTGTTAATATAGCAAAATAGTTAATAAGTCTTCTATGAACTAGTATTTTTAAACTCTTCACTTCACTCGACTAGTCTCAAAAATCAAACATAACTTGGGGGGAAACAGTGATACATTCCAAACTAAAGAGCAAAGTTTAGTCAACCAGTTATATGCCGATTAAAATGAGATCATTTTCGCTAAATACCAATTATAGTACATCAATTATACAATAAACATGCATTGGAAATAAAGTTACACTTGATAAAAGTCGGTAAACAAAATTCACTTTAAGTTAATTTGAGGATTTCATATCAAACAGTAATATTTTTCCTAAAATTAAGCAGGATTACACCAGCTATGTTAAAATGTACCCGTACATCTCTGGAAATAATCATGAAAATAAAATTACAAAAGAGTTACTTCATATTTTAATAAGTTTCTTATTGACATATATGCATCCTGTGTGTCCTGGATTCCACTGCTGGCCACCATCCATCTGTACTTATAACATTTGTGGTTTAAGACAATACCTAGGCAATCCGCACAGGATGCACATATGCCAATAAGAGATGGGTCAGATGCAGTCCTAAACATCAATAGGAAGGTTCAAACAACCAATACAAAATGAATTAATATTTTGTTGTGTCAAAAGGAAAACGATTTCTTTCCGGAAAAAAACAGGTTCCAAGTCTTCAAATGTCAGTAATCAGGCAAGCAAGAACTTAAGCAGTTTTAGAATTGAGTAACATGGCATTGTATTCAAGTGGTCGACTAACTGCAAGTTTAAATTACAAAATAGGCGAAAACTCAATAACTTAGTCAAGAATTGGATAATTATCTGTGTTGCATTGCTAGATTCTCCTGCCAGTCAGCTACAACGTAGGACCAGGCACATATATACATCGGTCCAAATTGCCATACCTCATTAACACAACAAGATGAACACCGGATTCATAAAAGTAGTTAATTCAGAGGTGGTAACATATAAAAGATTGCAATGAGGATACAGTACAGGAAGAAAGAATTAGTTCGTAGAAAGAAAGATATGAAGCGGATTTAATCTCAGTTTAAGGGAAGACAGAGTTTATACACCGACGCCATTGTGATCGATTCTCCTGTATTTTCCTCAGAAATAAAAGTAGCAGTAGCGCCAAACTCTAGATTGACGGCACCGAATCCCTATGTTTACTGTCGCCCCTTTAGATCATGAAACAAATAATATTTTCATAATTAGCATCAGAGTAAGACTTTCTTTCTCTACCTCATTCTTCTCACTTGCATAATGAAAATCTCTTCGTCGTATGTAAAGTGCCCAGTAGTGCATGTCTGATTGGGAAGTAAATTATAAAAAATTGTACGTATACATCTCTAGCAAAAGGGAATTTTCTCAGCTCATTACAGTACGCACTATATGGTTATACTTGTCCGTTAATAACAGCGTTCTTTTTTCATTCAACAACAGTAGACTAGCAATATATTTTTTTCTCGGGTCACAAAATGACCTTATGAAGCGATAATAAGGAAAATTGGCGACAAAATACCATATCATGATGTTTAAAGCAGTCGATTTGTAGACGGTATTGCTGTAGTGAACGAGAACTTAGGTGGGGAAAACCAGCTGATTTCTTAATGTAAAATTACAGGGTGCCTTGATAAAATGTGAAAACCATACGTTAAATACATTACTTGCACATCTTCCTTAATCCGTCCCGTACGTGCTTCATGTTTCTTCCAACCATTTTGTTATTGCAATTTCTCTCTGTTACCCCTTGTGTTCTCTTCAATTTAATTTTCTGTTATCCGGCGTTCTACTTCCGATTGGTGCTACATATTACTTAGATCTTTCAGCATAGCCAACATACACCACTGCAAGTTCGAACCCCGCTTCACCCGCCTCGGATTTCTACGTCAGTTATTATTAGTAGTCCGTCTCTTCACCCGCAGCAAATTGTGTAACTTAGGGCGGAACAACTAATGTCTGTGTTAGGGATGGTTGAAAGTTAGGGGCGGCCTAACCAAAACGTGGCACCAGTGCTTGAAGTCACTAACTTCTGGTCTGAGCCATATTGGTAGATGCAGACCACTTCTTTGGGGTCCACGTGACTATCGTAACCAATGGTTGGAGACTTTTCGAGACATGGCTCAGAATCGATCACAATGGCGTTGGTGTATACACTCTCTGTCTTCCTTCAAACTATGAGATTAGCATCGCTTCATACCTTTCATTCTACGAACTAATTATTTCTCCCTGTACTATATCCTTATATGCAATCTTTCTTTTATGTATTACCACCATTGAATTAACTACTTCTATGAATCTGGTGTTCATGTTGTGTTGATGAGGTATGGCAATTTGGACCGATGCACATATGTGCCTGGTCCTACTTTGTAGCTGACTGACTGACATTCCAAATTAGTCGATGTCTAGTGTGATTTTGTTTAAATATTAACCTGAATAACATTCATTGCTAATTATTGCTACTGTTTTCTTTTTAAAATTAGAAAGATTACTCTAACAGTTAATGGAAAGCAAGTATATCTTAACAACTCAATGGTTCAGATCAAGGAATATGAAAATGTTGTACACGGTAAGTAAATTTCCTCGTTCTTCCAGTATTTGCTCGTATATACATAACTCATTTCTCTACAAATAGCACGTAAATCTTGCTGTACTAAGTCATGACCAATGCAGGAATTGAAAATAAGATTCTTTAGTGAAAGTTTTCACGAGGTGAATAGCAAGAAAGTTAAAATACTTACATCACTAATCACAATGACAAATAGTAAGCATTAGAGAATATGGTTCAAGAAGAAGGAATAAAAAAGTATATGCGAAGAAATACTAAGACTAGAGGAATATAAATATTGGACGCTTCTGTTCCTTTGTGATCAATTTAGAACCGTATCACCCGATTTCTCCAAGAATTTCACTTAGATATGTTTCTGTAATTATGAAGAACTAGTTTCTCTTGGATATCCTCCGCACTATAATAGATGCTACTTGTTGGTTTAAACCATAGTTCTTATCTTGACCAATGGTGATCTTGTTTTTCGTAGTATACTGAGCGATATAGGTGTTGGGGAGATCCAGAAAATTCCTCGAAAAAAACAAAAAGGGGCTCCGAAATCTTTGAGAAACATCTCATCCAATCAGAATTCAAAAGAAGTTTTACTAGAAACATCTAGAAACTGAAAGGTCACATGTTACATTTCTGATTGGATGATTAATTATACTGCTACTATGTTTGGTAGCGTTCCAAAACTTTCTGGAGGCCCAAGGCTATCTAAAATGCTATAAATACCCTTAATTTTCTGTACTTAGACCAACCTTGAAGTAAGGCGTTCTTTCCATATTTTGCATCTTTTCTCTTATGTTCAAGTTGCCATGTAGATTAGCCTGGGAGTTACTAGAAGAGCTTAGGAGATCGAACCTAGCGTTCAATTAGAAGATTGATCAATCTGTTTGTTGAATTCCTTTCAGTGTGACTATCAGTAAGACTGACACTCATCCACTGTACTTTAGTTAAAATCAGTTCAATTGCAGTTGTTTCTTTATCACAACATATTTTGAGCATTTGCTGACTTAATATAAAAGGTTTTTATTTCACACTTAGTTCTTATATTTTTGCCTTTTTAAACAAGACAAAAACACATTGCTGTCTGACAATGGGTCATGATCGGCTGGATATAATGTTGAATGTTTCTCGTTTACATCTTTTAGGAGTCATTCTTATCAAACTTTATTCACTGGTACTTGTAATTATTAAACTTATATCCCTGTTTTCCTGCTTACCAACTCTAAACAAATAAAATCAGATTCAAACTCAAGAAAACATCATTTCAGTTAGTTTAGTGACCATACTAGAATCTTTATTCAATGAACTTTGACTGATATCATGACATATTAATTGTCATTCAGCAGACAGTTCATATTTCAGAATTTTTATGTGGTTAGTTTGCATTGAATAGCTACCCATTTTCACAGTTTCTAATGTATTATATGAACTAAATTTGGCATTTCAATTACGTTTTGTTTTCTAGTATCGTACTGATAATTTTATTGTTATTTTAGTCAGTGAAATAGTACCGAATGTAATTGAGCCTTCATTTGGCATTGGTCGAATTCTGTATACTATATTTGAACACTCTTTCCGTGTACGTGAAGGTGATGAACAACGCACAGTAAGTGATTTAAATTATATTTTCTTGAGTTTAATGTTTTGAACAAACATTAATTGTTTGGACTTTATTAATGTAACGCAGTAAGTTGTTTCAAAACAGTGAAATAGATTTAATGATCTTTCGCTTTTCTAATTAATATTCAGTTTACTAATGTTAAAACTGTATTTACAGTTAGTAAATCTTAAAAGGCGAGTATTTCTACTGTTAAGCTCTATTAGAGACGTCTAGTCCATTTAAATGATAATCTTACAAATTATACCACAGTTCAATGTCAGTTATGCATTGAAACATGTAAACAGCGTTTTAAAACGAAGACAGAATTTTACTGTTTTTAATAATACACACAATTTAGACGTAACCATATATGAGAATGCTTTACTAACTATCCACAATTGATACTAGCATCAAACATCCGATCTCTATTGTCTTTGTTTACTTACTCGATCAGATTCCATCTGACGACAACTCATTTTATAAAATTGTTTTCTGTTATACATTTATAAATAGGCATTAACAACAGTTTTAGGAGACAGTTGGAATTTATAGACTAAAATATTAAAATTTCAAAAACCCACGTCTCGTATTATGAAATGGGAGGAGGTTTTTATTAGAAGAGTTTCTACCATTAGCGTAATGTAATCGACAGTGACAAAATTGTTTTCACCTATTTGAAGAGATTATTCAACTGTAGTGCGCCGATTCAATTACATTGTCACACTTCAATATTGCATTGTTTAGGTAATGTTTATGTTGACTTTATAATTAAAGTAATATTTTGTAAAGTGTATGGGAAAAAATATCTGTTTTAAACGAGTAAATTTCTAATGAAAATGCCTAAAGAAGACATGCAAAATTGTAGTCTATTAGGATATGTATATTCATAACCTTTTTTCATCACTTATTTTATTTATTTTATTTTAACACATAGATATTGGTACAAAGAGGCACCAAATACATATGCGCCACACAAATCTCATTTGATATGTGTGAGGGCTGTGATACTGCCCGGGTGCCCAAACCGAAGCAGGTGGTTTTCTTAGGAAGCCACACCCCGAGCCTTCGACCTGAGGGTCTGATCCACAAGGCAATGGAGCATCGTAAGGAGATGCAGTCCCATGGAAGCCGGTGACCAACAATTGGTTCATACGCCATTTGTTCCCGCAGGATACTGGAGCCCATGTGCACCATTGGTTTGGAATCCGGTTAAAGCGCCGGACATTCGCTTTTCGTCCTCTCATTTTCGTAAACAACACCCCCGCCACGAGAAGGCAGTGAGTAGGACTTCCCTGGCAGAGGCTATATACGCGTGGCCATGTAAGAGCATTTCGAGAGGGAGAGCGAACTCTCCCCACTCTCGGCCGTACCAGGGCATTTGGGGGCTACTCTAGTTAGTCCTGTTTTAAGGCTAAAATGGAAAGAAAGAAATTTTTATCTTTAATCGAACACAATAAATTTCATACAATATTGTATTACTACTTAGTAAACAAAATTAATTTTGTAGGTATGCACATGCATTTCTCACTTTACACAGTGTATGACATCGATGAAATTATGAAAAATCTTTAAGAGTAGATAATTTTATCTTTAAAGATCAGTTTTAGTTTGTTCCATTTCTTTTGAATAATCAAGTAAATGATCAGACAATTGATATATAGTTCCTTGTCAATTATTATAAGTAATTATATAAGTAGTCTTTATTTATTGAACAGTATTTCTGTCCACATAGAATTCACATAATGATTTGGATTATTTAGACATAAAGTGTTTATTGAGAGAAAATTTCAAATCTGCCATGTTCAAGAAAAAAACATAATAAATATTCATCTCTCAGTTGAATTTCTCATTCTACATACTTATAATCCTACTTTACGTTATTTAGTTAGATTTTATTATACTGTTGTGTGTGTGAGAGAGAGAGAGGTGTCATATGTTAGAGATAATGTACTTTCCAAGTATATTCTTGTGATCTATGTTCACCTGACATATTGTTCATTCTTAAAAAGGAATTTATTTCCTTTAACTTACAACACCCTAAGATATTTTTCTTCTGTGTATTTTGTTTAATGCCATTGTTTTCAAATGAAAGAAGGTTTATATATTTTACTTATACACACATAATCAATTAAGCCCCTTTTTTCTATGATGTAAATATAATATTCATAGTATTAAAATTACATGATATTTTTTACTGTTTCCTTTGTTATCCTTTTTTTCACCTTGAACTGACCTTTCTATAACGATTTAATTTTATTGATTTATTATTCCGTAATTTCGATCACTTTTAAATTCCTTTCAGCAAGAAATATTCTGTCGTGACAATTTCTGTAATAAAAATTTTTATTCTTTACTGAGAATCCTAGATTTACTCTTGATTATTAATGATAATATAATTTAAGGTAATGATTAAAGGTAGTTGACAAAAAGTCCTAAATCTAGGTTTCGTGCAAGGCGTGCCTGTAATTTTAAAAAAATAATACTTTCGAATAGCTCAGTGTTAACGTCTCTAACTGTGAACATGAGTAACACAAAACCGAGTCTGCCAGAGAGTACCAATTCTCTTAAGGTTACAGTTAAACTTTTCTGACGAGTGCCATTTAGCATGAAACCTAGGTCAGGGGTTACCTATCGACTACTACCTTACATCTCAACACAGTATTCTTGATATTGATTTGCTTAGACTAACAGCTATATTGCAACTTGATAGACAGAATTCAATGGAGACTAACAAGGACTTGACACACATGACATTGGTCACTACTCAGTGGTCGACCAATTGCAAAATGATTACATAATTTATTGTAAAATTTACTGTATCATTTATGATATTCAGACGTACTCCAGGTAAATGTATAACTGAAGGATCAATCGTCTGTGTTTAGGGTGTTGGTACAATTAGGTTTCGAGATTTTCTATTATTATAGTTTCACATCATTCTAATATTTTTTCGTCAAAAATATCTTTGAAAAATTAACGGATTATAGTTTCTGCACATCAAGCCCCCGTTGGAATTGATAACTTCAAGAGATGTTTGTCAGTCTTCTGTTTGCTTTCTCTGTTCTAGTTTAACCTTGTCATAGACATTCTTTCAGAGATAATGCTCTCATCGTTTAACTTCTCTTGAGTTGGTCTACCAGGATATTCAATTATTGACCTATAATGCGCAGATAGCCTAGTCCTGTTTAATGAAGATGCAGTCTTTTGATTGCCTTGAACAATAATGCTATCCTCTTTGTGATTCATTTTCTCCCTCTAAACCCAAATTCTGTTTGAAAACCAAATGGTGTGTAACCTAAACAGAATTCCACTCCGTATTACTTCCCAGCTATGGAATATGATCTTTGAAAGTAGAAAATATACGTAAGCTGACAGCTTTTTATTACAAATATTTTCGAAACATAACAGGGTAAGCAATGTTAAGGTTAAACGTATGGTACCAGATAAGGATGTTAAGTCGGTAGTCGGGGATGTATGATGTATGTTCAACCACCGCTTATCTGGACCCATGATAATGGATAGTGTTGAAGTAAATTGGAAAAAAAAACGAATAGGAGCTAACACAAGACGTAAAGTAGTTGATGAAGTCACTAACTGTTGAACTAAGTCATATGGGTAAAAGCAAGCTACCTGGGGCCCGCATGATTATCATAACCAGTGATTAGAGACTTTGGGTGACCTAACTCAAAATCACTCTTAATGGCACGAATGTATTTCCTCTTTTTCTTTAAATTCTGAGTTTCAAAATTATCTTGTACTTTTTTTATTCCATAAATTCATATTTTCTCAAATTATATCTTCCATATCTAATCTTTTCGACTACTTCTAAAACTGTTACTACCCAAACTAATCATCTAGGTTCATATTCTGATACTTATTCAAAAAGCAAATTGTTTCTGCAGTATAATCATATCAATAGTTAATCAGGAATCTTAGGGAAATCATAAAATTCATGATGAAAGTCTTAACGACCTTGAGCGAGTTACTCAGAAAATTAACAAGCAAATGGGAAATGGATTCATTAACTGATCTCTTTGATCCTTATTAGTGCAAATTCGTAAACTAAATTGATCAACAGGCTTTTCTTACTAAAAACTCCAGTAGGTCGGTAACTGTAAGTCTACATTTTGAGACATGTTAAAGTTGGTTTATAAACTGATACTTTCATCACATGAATTTATTTTTCACTATCACTTTTTTACGAGCTTCTAGACATAAAAAGTAGTCTAGGCGTAGTCTCATTTTTCTTTGCCAATTATCCTGTGCAGTTTAAAACGGAAAGAAATTGGTCTCTTCAGTCGCAGTAGTTAAAATTAAATATCTTTTTTTATCAGTAATATTTTGGTTAAATATTTAAATAATTAAGATCCATTTTTTTCACTGTTTAGTGTTGTTGTATCCTCTTGCGTACTATTGTTTCTCCAACACAGTATTATAGGTTTTAATTTATTCAGCTAACTGTCATTTTTATTATTAGCAAGAAGCTTAATTAACTAGCAACGGAACATTTCCATCGTTGTGTCCAAGTATATTCAGAATGTTATGATTTTAGCAACCTTCATTATATATATATATATATATATATATATATATATATATATATATATATATATCCAAAGTTTTGGTGTTCTGCTCTCTGAGATGGATGGTTTGGTAGTGGAGCTTCCATCGTTCTGAACGACGTCATCAGCAATAACTTCAAGTTGAAGTAAAGTGTTCGAATTTATCCGCATATGACTCACAGCTTGTCCTGTAGACCTCGACCTTGATTGGTTATTATCAACCTTTAATCTGTCATTGTCTACTTTATTTTGATTGGATCTCCCACCATCTAATCGTCTAAATATCTTTGTGTTCGATATCTTTATTTTAATTCAATAGGTTCATGTTATCTGAACACATTTCTCTTCAGTTTCTGTTGCTCTTAGTAAAGTGTATTCATATTTTGTTGTTGATTATTCATATTTATGAGTTAACTAAATTGTATATTTTTACTATGAACAACACTACATCATTAATTGTATTGCTTTTGCAAAATTATCTTACATATTATCATTGTTTTCTTCTGTTATTTTGTTTTGAAGTATTTATCTGTATCTCCAGTATTAGCACCATATAAGTGCTCTTTACTACCACTTTCAAATCATGGTGACTTTGCTCCAGTTGTTCGCAAGTTGTGTAAGTGTTCTTAAATTAGATTTCTAATAATTTCAAATATTAGTCATTCAGTCAGTCATTTGGTAAGCACTAAATTTTGTTTTTTGTTTTATTCTAAATATTACTATTAAACATAAAAACTCATCATTATATTTACCTTGTGCATAACATTCTAAGAAAAAAATAAGCACTTGGATTATTTTTAATAACATGTCGGTTTTTGTTCGACAAATATCTCCATTTATTTGTAGGAACTTCTATAAGTAGTTACTTTGTACATAATAAAGTTACATTTTTGTGTCCATCCTTCGTGAATCAACTGTGTTATCTTGATAAGCATGCTCGTGCTTACTAATTAACCGGGAAACAATTATTCATTGATAACACTGCGAACAGTTGTCAGTCAGTCAGTCAGCTACAACGTAGGACCAGGCACATATGTGCATCGGTCCAAATTGCCATACCTCATCAACACAACATGAACACCAGATTCATAGAAGTAGTTAATTCAATGGTGGTAATACATAAAAGAAAGATTGCATATAAGGATAATAATAATTAGTTCGTAGAAAGAAAGGTATGAAGTGGTTTTAATCTCTTAGTTTAAGAGAAGACAGGGAGTGTATACACCAACGCCATTGTGATCGATTCTGAGCCATGTCTCGAAAAGTCTCCAACAATTGGTTACGATAGTCACGCGGACCCCAACGAAGTAGTCTGCATCTACCAATATGGCTCAGACCAGAAGTTAGTGACTTCAAGCACTAATGCCGGCGAACAGTAGTGGAAACAAGTAACAATCGATGAGAAAACTGATCAAATCTCAAGTTATTTAATCTGTTTTCTATACATTGTTAATGGAGATTTATGGCTAGTTAACATTCCCCGGCTTCTCACACCATAGATTTTTCTTATGAATATTGATTTTGTTCTCTTGATTGGCATTTTAGAATAAATTTTACTGCTGCTTTCAAAATTCGTGTGCTACTTTTATTAATGTTGTTTCCTAACTTTTTGTTTGTGAGAAGATAGCATCGCTAAAAATAACATTTATCATTTGTGTGTAACATACTGTTATATCTCGACAGTCATTTGTTCGGCTTCGCTCTTGGATTTATTATATTCTGATTGTCGTCTTCTATGTCCCGCTCAAAATCTTATTCCTCAATCAAGTTAGCAGTATATTATTTGTGATCAACAGTCGCAATATTGCAAATCTAAAAAAAGGTCCAAACTTCATTAATCCCATCTACATGTATCAATTCAGGCTAACAGGTACTTTCCTTGCCGATATCGAATCCAGTGTGATGAAGTATCTACATGCGTTGATATTCCTTCACTGAAACCTGTACTGAAGTGATTGCTAAGCCAGCCTCCATGGAATATGTCGCGTTCTCATTTCTCTATTGTTTTGTAAACCTGTGTGAAACACTTCATTCAATTTTCAGTCTCATGTTTTAGTTTATTTTTTCTTTCATTATAGCCTCAGAACTGACTAAATATGCTGTTTCACATCGAGTCGATGAAAGTAGTGGGTCCATTGGACGACGATATGCTCGTACAGATCAAATTGCTATTCCATACGGAATTACTATCGACTTTGACACCTTGAATAAGTCACCCGCTTCAGCAACACTTCGTGAACGTGACAGCATGAAACAAATCAGAGTACCAGTAAGCTCATATTTCTAGACATTTTGTAAGAAATCATTTTCATACTAATTTATAATGCTTTAATTTAGGTTCGTAATTTTTGACATGTTTACTTTAAGAATAAAGTGGTTTATCATTGTAAATAAGATTAAAATCAAATTTTGAAGTAAATTTCATAATTATAACGTTAATCACTTGGTATTGTTTACTTGAATCTTCCCATTGATGTTTAGGACTGCAATTGATCAGTTTCTTATTCGTATATGTGCGTATTGCCCTAATTCACGAGTATTATAAGCAAAGATGGATAGTGGCTAGCAGTGGAATCCAGGGTGTGAGTTTCGTCCCATTTAGGGCTCGTCAGCTGGGTGTACTTGCATCTCAGAGTTCTTGTTCACTCTGATACTCGAACCTAGCACTGTTCACTTCAAACGCTATCGTGTTATCCACTTAACTACTGAGTCTTGATAGCCAGGTATGTATAGCTGAAGAGTCATAAATAGGACGAAACGGGCGTCCTGTATTCCACTGCTAGCCACTATCCATCTGTGCTTTTAACGTTAATCCCCTAAAAGATGTCAGTTGACTACCGTATCGAAAGAATCCGTCGATAAAATGAATAATATAATTATTGTTCTCCTGAAGTTAAATTATCCAGCTAAACTTTTCTGTTTTATTGTAGTGAACGAAAACTCAGGTGGGGAAATCAATTTATTTTTTAATGCAAAATCATACAGTAACTTAGCAAAATATGAAAATAATACACTCAATACATCATTTGCACACCTTTGTGTTGTGCCTTATATACTTCATTATCCCTCTAATTCCGTTGTTGTCTCGATTGCTCTCCGATTTCCTTCTTGTTCTCTTCATTTCAGTCTTCAGCTGGCAGTCATTACACCTCCGATAACTTACATACTACTTATATCTGTCAGTATAAGTAGCATACACCACAATATAACTTCAGTTAATATTTATACACTTTGTTGTGAATATTCCAAGTAGATAATCATGCTTTCAGTATTCTAAATGACATTCAAATTGATATTGCAATTACGCGCCGGTATATCGATCATTTATATACTGTTTAGTTTGTTATGATTTTTTCGTTAACATACTCTATTCAAATGGACTATTAGCATTCATTTTAACCAACTTTAGTTGTAAACAGTAAGCAATTTATTATCTGTAGTATTGGTATCAGAATATTTGTATGTATTTCATCACATCGATGCCCTTCTACAAAAATATTTTTATTATAGATGAATTGTTAAAAATCTAAGTATTCAGTTATTATATCTTTCAGCATTTAACCAATGTTAACGATTCATCAAGATGGGTGATATTGTCAGTGTACTCTCAAATTACGTATGAATTCTTATTGTAATATTGTATAGAACACTCCATTCTTTTTACTACTTACAGTAGTGCCTAGTGTTTAAAAACTACTTTTGTCTGAAGTCATTCGATATCCTTCTGGTTAAGTATTTATAAAAAAGAACATCAAATCATACAATTTAATCTCATGTGATGATTTTGTGTTCTATTCGGTTATGTGCTTAAAATAACACTTGATTATTTCAACAGCAAAAGATCAATTATTGATTGGTTATGTGTAAGTTTACAGATTAATTTATTGTTACCAGTAGTAATGGCATGTGATTTGATTTTCTCAACTGATGTCTACATATAATAAACCATATATCTCACTTACTTCTGCTTAATATTTATTTTATAATCACTCATGTTTGCCAGTTATAACAAACACTTGCACTGAAGGCAAAACTCCAGGGTATAAATATTTTCGTATATCGCTTAAATTGGCTTTCAATAAATTTGTCAATATTAAATTATCAGAATGGGTTTTGTGGAGATTTTTAGAAATTTCACAGGTTGAAATCATGAGTCAATTAAAGTTAGACCACCATGAAATTTCTAAAAATCTCCATAAAACCCATTCTGACAATAATCAACTGCTCACTAGTGACTGACTTCAAGAGATACTCCTGGAGTTCTAGTGGGAAGCCGTTACCAGTGGAGTACAACCAGGTCTGTTGTGAGATATCAGCTCACTGGAGACAATGATGTACGGTGGCGCAACTCCGTGGATTGGTTGAAGTTAGGCATTAACACCGTTGGATGCAGGCTCAGTGGTCTAGTGGTTAAGTGCTAGCGCGCGAAACCAGTAGGTCCTAGGTTCGAATCCCGCGAGGTGCGGGGTCTTAGGTGTGTACTGCTGGGGAGTTCCATACTAGGACGAAACGGCCGTCCGGTGCCTCCAGGTTTCCCATGGTGGTCTAGCTTCAATCGACTCATAATTTCAACCTGTGGAGTATTAAATTAGTAGATTTGAGTGTTTTTTTAATCCTCTACTTTCAAGTACTATTGTGATACTTTAGGTGTTTTTTCTCTAATTGTTTGTGATTTCTTGTCATAAAAGGTTTTCTTAACTACACTGCTTTGTTGGTAAGAATAATCTTATTTTTTGTTAAGCAGAAGACCTTGATTTGTAACTCATGTACCAATTAACTTTATATTAATTTACAGCTTTGAATATTACTGTCAATACCTGACCGTTTAAACTGAAGCAGATGAAGTGTAATTTGAACATGCAATCTAGTAGTTGCTAGTCAAATGTTGTAGCAACTGAGCTATCTGTCTTTATATCTCATAATGTGGCGTACCTTTTGTCAAACCAGTTCTCATGCACACCAAGCTATGTAAAAGTCATCTTGTAATTTAGTGCCACCTGTTAATTCTATAGAAGCGTCCAACTACACGTTTGAGATTAGTGTGAAACTGAAGTTCATAAAACAACGATTTGTATAAAGAACATTTCGTTTATTGAGGAATAAACAAATTGTTCACAAACCCCAACTCTTGAGGTATTTTCACGATTAACACATCTGTATATCTTGAAGGAGAAGGGTAATTAAAACATACGGTAGTGTGAATGACAGCTGATAACTGTTTGTAATGTTAACAACACTATATCAACAGCCAAAATGGGAACTTGAAGCACACAAATGTGAAAACTGTCGCGTTTAAGAAAAGAATCAAGAAGTATACAAGACTGGAAATAAATGTTACAGGGATTGAGAAAGAGAGAGTAATTATGATAATAAATACAGTAAATGTCATAAGTGTATGTAATTGCTGTAAGATGTTACACAACAAATAAACACGTTACACTGTACGATTAGAAATTGTTAGAAATACAAATGTTTACTGAATTTTAGCAAGTAGTAAAAGCAATACACAAAAACACGTTTGATGAGAATGGGATAGGGACAGAAGGTACAAATGAACTTGACACTATCTGTTATATTACCTTGATCATCAGTATTGAATCTTCGATTTGTTTGATGGGATGTTCACGAATTTAAAATCTGCAATAAAATTTCTGTGAAAATTTTAATGTCACATGTTATTTCGCAATGAGGATTTTATACTCATTGCTAATATGTCTTTTTTGCGAAGTACTTGCTCTCTTTGGGTTCTCTTTTCGCACACGAGTAGATTAGATAACTAAAATCGACCTTAGAAGTAGTAGTGTTATTTGTAAAATGCATAGATTACATCTTTCCACGATTTCAAGATCGTAACATGGAAATATAATGATCAAGTGTACGTAGCATTGATGTACTAAAAATACCTTAAAGTTTTGTTATCATATGTTTTGGATTTATCAGTCAATGATGCGATTATAAAACATGGGCTTCTGTACCTTAAATATGTTTTTACCATATTTCCTCGTTAGTTCCATACCATTATTTCATATACTGAAACCGGGACTTAATATCAAAAGCGGGTAACATTAATTCACATTTTTTGGTTCATCACGACTCCGTGTATTTAAACGATTATATTTCACCATACATACAAACGGAATGTCTTCCGTCCCCTAAGATGTGAGACTCCATATAAAAGCGGGTAAGCACGCTAAAGCACCATTTCAAAGCAAAGTATTTAAGGTTGGAAAATTTATTTAGGTTATAAATATTTGTTGACAGATGTATTTTCACCATTTTTTGGCACCGCGAAGTCTTTCAATGTCGCGTATTAATAATGAACATATGGTGTATGGGATAACATTTTAATTACTCGGTCAGAAATTTGAGGTTCTTGGGTCTTCTGTTGTACATGTCGAGTGACCATATATTCGTACACATGAAACTGATTGAAGACATATTAGGAATTAACTGAAGCCTCCAAATCTCGATTCACCTCCCATCGACCTAACTAGCTTAGGGAGTTAGTAATAAGAGATTATTCAATGGGATCGTCCCTCTGGAACTTCTAGAGTACAGTCTTAATAACTTAAAATAGGATTTTACTTTTATAAATTATTACTAATCACTGTTTTTCATTACTGTCATTCTCTTCGATACTTTTATTTTGATCAAGAGTGAAATATTTTATCATGTGTTCAACTCTCAAAGGAAGTTACATTGTTTGACTTTCAATAAGTTGTCTCCATTTCTATCTGATTCTTTGATATTTGTTTTATTTTCCATAGTTGGATGAACTGCCTTCTTTGATGTCCGATATTGCTAGTGGCAATAAATCTTGGGACGATGCACGAGCAAAGTATCCAGCATTTGAACAGCAAGAAACGGGTAAACGATAAATCCTGTTTCATGTTTACTTGTAAATGTTTGTAATACTTTATTACTTACATAAAATCTTTATGCTACTTGAATATACTGACTTGTTTTTTTACTCCATGGCATGGTGTACGTTTGTGTTTAGGCTTGTGTTTTGAAAATGATAGGATCTCCGATTTCAGTGTCTTTCTAATATTATAACAACTGTTTCTAATCTGCTTTGAATTATTCTCTGCTTACTAACAAAAAATTGCTGTATATTCGTTGTCAGTGATGTTATGTTGTGTACACTCCAACTACTAATTGTCGTACAAGTTCATATTTTGTCTGCAGTCATTCATTTCTACGCATGTTCGTTAGATAATTTTCGTCAACTGATAATTTCTAATCTTATTACAAGCAAACAGCGAACTTGCAGTTTTTCCTCACTCTATCCACCTTCAGGGAATTAAGAAAATCTTTACATTGCAATAAACGTAAAATATCTTAATCAACACCTTACTATTTAATTGATAATTATACATGATACTAACTTTGTTGAGCAATACATCAACAATCTTAACAAAACAATATTATGTTTGAACAGTTACTTTATGAGTGACCTACATTTAGAGTAAATCCATCCTACTCATGTGACAATTACTACGGCTTAATCGGTGGTGTATATTCAGCAGTTTAGCATATATAGCATTATGGATGTGTTTACTAAATGTTTAGAGGCCGCAACTTCATACTATAAATCAATTCCCCTATTTCGCTCTCTTATAATATATAAATTAGTTTTTTTGTCAAGCAAAATATAATTATTGTGGCGTATACTGAAAATTCCATTTTTTTAAAATCGTATTGTGTTCAAAAGTGATGCTGAAATTATCAAAAGCAATCGTTACTAACTCTAGCGTTTGCGAACTACTGAAGTTCTAACTGCACAACCCTAACTAGCTTCAAGAACTTATTTAATCGAACCCTCGATTTATGTAGCTTCGTCTTAACTGTCAATTTACTATTATTTAGGAAGTCTCGAACAGTTGTTGTGTTGTCCTGAACCCTCATTTACTAAAACCAAGAATAAATAGTTGTTGTAGTGAATCTAGTCACTTTCGTTTCCATGTTCAGTCAATCCTATAGCTATGTGAAGATTAAGTAAACAGTTCTCGTGAAATTGTAAATATAGCCATAACGTTGATTCCAGGATAAAACCTCTTGTAATTTGTTCGGCCAGTCCCATCGAAACCTACAAAGTTCTGTACTTATGTAGTCGTCTTTTACCAGATTTATTCATTTCATTCACTGAACATCGCATTTTTTAAAAAGCTAGGCTTAAAGTCAGTGCGCAGGTAAAAAAAAAAGGTTTATTGTTGTTCTCAATAAAATGTACTCCAGAAGTTAGTAATCCAGACTAATCTTATGGCAATAAGCTCACGTTATGCAGAAAGATAGAAACCTAGTGTTAACCTTGATAAATTAGGTATGTAATCTCCTAAAGCTTTAAACTGATAACTGTTTCACTCTTGACTGATACTTCAGAACGGAGAACAGGGGAAATTTGTCCATACTTCAAACTGTGAAGACGCATTCATCAGATTTCAACCCTTTATTAAGTCTTGAAACATGTATTTGTCATCCTCGCTATTTACTTCTCCTAACGTAGGATAGATGTTTGATTCTGCTGAAGGTTTGTTGGTATATGACTAAATTATTATCAGGTGCATATCACGTTTCGATCGGCGAAGTCTAAACTCAGTCCTATAAGAATTTTATAGGATTATCGCCCGACTTGACATTTCGTTTTTTAACCTAAAAAGTTCACTATTAATATCTTTTTCTCTTATACATTCACTGAATTACATGCGTATGATCTTCTTGACATTTACTCTAACCTAACCGAAATACATATCCGTTTGAACGATGTTTGTAGTTCTCTGAATAAGTTGTGGTCAATCCATCAGATTTTAGTTTATCCTTTGAAAAGTGGTCGAAATCACTGACCACTTTACCTATCCTCAAAGCCTCAGCAAACTGGAGAATTCGGTTTATGACAAGACCGCATATTTCAAGAAAGTTTGATTACCGTTTGTTTCGACTTTTAACTGACGGTAAACCTGCCAACCCTGTTGTAAATTTTGACGTGATTGATAAGCTTCAACTGACTCATGATTTCAACCTGTGAAAATCCCTACATTTTCGAACAGTGAATTAGACAAACAAGAGGTCAAATAAGCAATCACAAGTAATTTTATGATTCTGGTCAATATTCCATGTGATGTCATAAGTAAAATATCATAACTTATAGATCTTAGTAAATAAATAACTATGGACGTTAGTAAGAAGTATAACCATAACTGATGAATCAAAAGGTAGTCGGTAATCATAGTTAGATATGAAAGCTGTTTCACAAGTACATGTGAGAAGTTTTGTCAGTGGGTTATAGATTGAATTAAAACATGTTTCGTGCAAGGTTGTGGGGGGGGGCACACTGATTGACTATTGCCTAACCACTCAGTGCTAACAGAGACTTGGAGAAAACTCTAGAATCTTCTTATATAAAGATTATAAATATGCTACATTTTTCTTATTGCGATTCCTACTTCCATCCAATCTTTATTTGGAATATAATTGCATTCCTGTTCAATCGTTTTCTGATTTGGAGACTTGTCGAATGAAGTAGCGTCCAAGAATACCAAGTAGTAAGAGTAACTGGGTCATAATAAGAAATATTTTAACAGGTTTAGAAACTAACCTATCGAATAATAACTTTCATATTTTCTGTTTTTTCACCTCTCGAAGCATATTCACTAACTTGAGGTGATAGTTAACTGTGTGGGATAATTAAATATTGTTGAAGTTAAAAACAGTTTGTTCTGTATGAAGACTTTAGTCAGTTTTTTGCAACTGAAAGATATCCCCAATATTTAAGCCATTTCCTAGTTCGTGATATCCTTTTAACTGAGGTTGAACCAGATTAGGGAAACTCAGATTCATAAACTATCGATATATTATGTGGACTATCAGAGTAGGGTCTTTAACGTATCACAAAGCAGTGGTTGGAAATCCTAACTTGAAATAAACCTCAATGTGAGAGATAGGCTTATGCCTTCTTTCTAATATAACTTCAACCGTTCTATCAATATCTGCTTTCATTGTTTTCGTGATTTATTTTATTAGTCGTATGCGTTATTGCAACATGTATCAGGTTAATAGTATATCCTTTTGTGTGATTCCAAACGTCTATCTAATTCTTTTCGTTTGCTACTGCATCATATTTTAGTTCTTGCCATATTTAACACTTGAATATTCCAAAGCTTTCAGTGTGCTGCGTATGTTGACTGGAACAATAACTTTTTTAGCTTTCGTTTACTGCACTGGTTTCAAAATTCTCTCTAGTTCGTCAATACCCCGTTCTTTTGTATTAAAATATGTAATTGTGTAATTACAGTTTTACTGTTATCTTATTATGGTTGGAAGTTAACATTTATCTCTATTAATTTTCACCTAGCGTATTTTCATGTTCCTTTTAACCGGTCTTTTAATAAACTTTCGGTTGTCCCGTTTTCTTCTGATCGCTCCCATACAGTTAGTTTACTGCAGATAGTAATATTAAATTCACCAAAATAGCTTGTTCTAGTTTCTAATCATCATTCACTTTATCCCAAAATGGACTGGTTATCATATTCTCTTCATTCGGTTGGCTTTTGAAATTGGTTTAAATTGATCCTAATTAACTATACTGGGATTCCTGACGAATCGTCACTTTAGTGGTAGCTTGATTGTTAAAGTATTCGATCCTCGATCAGAAAGGCATATTTGAACTCTTTCCTATTGACTATGGTTTAATCAGTTGACCTGTTTCACCAACCCTCCCTCATTCAAAGCTGAATATATTAAACTTCACTTGACAAATGGATTACACCAATTAATCAATTTGACCACAAACCTTTCGTTAACAGATTTTCACCAGTTCTGCAATAGTCACTGATGACAACACGTACAAAAAGACTGCCTGTTTTCCTACCAATTATTATTTTTAAAATCAGAGTATGCTATTTCACATCTGTAAAGCGCAATTTCTAGAGGTGGGAAGTGCATGTAGGTCACTGGTATTTATTCATAGGTGTGCATGCAGCATCGCTTATGTATAACGGGTGTCCAATTAGCATTATTTAAAAAAGAGAACTTTTCGGCAAGTTTTATTTAGTCGATTAAGTCGTAAAGATGAATCGCTTACCTTATATAAGTCATACTGATTACTTTATATATGCACACACGTGGTATTTGATTAAGTCTATTTCTAGAAAAGATACAGACTTACGATGTCTCTAAATGTATATCTACGTCTTAATGAAGCTTGTAAGCTTCTTTAGTAAAGTTGGAAGCTTATGAAATCCCTAGTTAGAAATAAATAGTGCATGGCTCAGAATAGATTACAGAGATACGAATGCTTTGATGCCCTATCTTGAGCATCTTGTTACTTGTCTATTTTACGTTTGCGAGTTTTGTCAGTGTTAATATGATTCTATTTTTGTTGATTTTCTGTGCGTCTGCAAAACCCAGCAACTAGAACTAATAAACTTGTATGCACTTCATTTTTTATCCTGCACTTAACTCGGAGCAATCCATTGTTTTAACAGCAACGAAGATTTCACCTTTCTTTTGACAGTAGACTTTAAAGGTCTGACATTTTTGGGACTATTGTTGTTTCTTTGTATATGTTGTACACTTATTCTGTTATTTGTTGTTTTCTTGCGAAGCTAATGTATTTTTTACTTGGCTTCCAAGTTCGTGACCTGGTTCCTCGAAAGTTTTTTAGACAGGTTCACGTGTATTATTTCAATCTGTGCACCGGTAAATTGGTTGGTTACTAAGATTTTATATTCCCGAGTATTGTTAGTGACAAGTCTTCAGGATGAAACTATGTAGTCTTGAAGTAAAGTCGGAAGTGGTTCCAGAACTGTTTTCTAGACTAACAAAACAATGTAATAATTAGGCAGAGACTTCCCCTATTTACTTAGTTTTTACTAGAATTACTTTCCATTTCCATGAACCAAAGTGGAGTGAATTGTACTCTTATGTTGAGAAACTCAACGGTTCTGCCTATTCTCTTAGTATTAGTAAGGATTCTGATTCCTTTCATTATGAGGTGAGTTATTGAGTTTCGTCAGCAGAGGTCATTTTAGTGGATGTTCGAAATCTATGTCTACTTTTGATAAATTTAAAGAACAAATCAGAAATGTCACTCACATAAGAACACCTTCATTAACCGCAGTTGCTTTTTTTTTAATCCTTCATGAATGACTGTAAGTACATAACTGGATGGTCACCATCCATTCACTGAAAACCGGATGAAACTTGGTAGACTGCTATCCATAAGTGTTAACTCGATAATACTAGTTTCGTTCGAAATTACTATCAAAAAACTGCAGAAACTTTGAGAAACAGGGCTCCGGTCTGTCACCTATATCATTTTGGATTACTTTAGTAGTAGTTTGTTTGATTCTAATAATAAATCAGATTTCGATGTTATTTATTCTTATCACTGATTACCGTTATCTTATGTGTCATTCACAATTAAAGTGGTTTCGTCCGCCAGGCAAGCGGATTTTTCATTATACGAATAGCTTACAAAACTTTCAGTGTGAGTTCTAGTCAGAATACCAACCCGGTTACAGTTTTCCAAGACAGTAAATTATATAACCACGATCTTTAATTTGAGTAAATTTTATTTCCTTTGAATGAGCAATAATTGGCATTAATTTGTAATGCTGACAGTATATTTGTTTTCTGTCAAGGCGAACAATATGGTAATATCCTTCTATATTATGCTAATACCGAAAATCATTTCAGGAATATGTAAATTATATGTAATTAGGTTGATCGAAGATGCCAGAACGTGTTCACTTCCAGGCTTATTTGCATTATAGGAAGCAGTATAATATATGTTTTGTTTGAAGACTAATGATACCTATCAATTGGTTCAGAACATAGCATAGCTACTAGCTACAATCCCAATTAATAAACATCGATTAGACCTAGCCAAAACTTAGTAAGGTGAGTTTATGTATTATCTTTTCTAATGTCCTACTGGTCCTGGTATATGTACCTGTTTTTGTTGTTTCAGCTCAAAAGAAGGAAACAGCAGAATCTTCATCAAATGACCATTCATTAGATTTGATAACCGAACGTATCGATTTAGGTGAGATAAGCAACTCAGTAAAAGAGCAAAAAAATATCACTAAAACACACCAACACACTACTCCTGTGCACGGAGAACAGACTGTTGAATCTAAAGAAACTCATGCTAGTCGATTTGGGAAGAAAGCTCTTAATTGGACAGACTGTGGTAAAACCATTCGGAAACGTTATAAAGAGCAAGAGGAACGAGAAAAATCGCTCAGTGGGCAAAACATATTGACACATCCTAGCGTATCAACTGATCTCTTGGGGAACACAGAAACTGGGGGTATTATCTCGGGTTATGACGCTGATCATGAAGATAATACTTGTGGCTTCAATAAATCATCTCGTATCCACCCCCAAGATTCTAGTGCTCATTGCTCTGATCTTTCCCAGCCGACAAACTGTCTGAAATTTCCTAGTAATGTGCCATCTGTCAAAAAATCATTCGCCACCGATAAAAATCATACAAAACTTGACATTTCTTCTGAATACCCACCACTTCCATCAAATGGTAAGTCGAGAGAGAAAATCCCATACCATGGCGTTTTTGTTGGAGATGGGTGGCCCAACGACAAAAAAGTAGATCCAGAGCCGAAAACTAATAATCCTAACCCCTCTGTCTCAAAACACAATTATGCAGCAGACGAATCTCAACTGCCTTCAAATTTAGCGTCTCATAATACTCAAAAGTATAAAAGTGAAAGTATATTCGACAAAAATTGCTCGGAATGGGTTTCTACTTTGGCCAAGCTAGATCAACCACTGTTTGAAGTTGAAATGAGTCAGTTTTTTTATGGACACTCAACTAGAGTAAAAACAAAACACATCACAACTAGTAAGTGCACTTCGAAAAGCAGTCAACCTGTTGTCTCTCAGTCTAATAAATTATCTTACCATGGACTTTTTGTGGGTGAAGGATGGCCTATTATCAAACCCGATAAGAAAGGAGAGATAATACATAGTTCTGGAAAATCCGAAACTAGGAATATTGATTTGGAAGAAATATGGCAGAATGAGAAGGATAATTTAACTATCAAGATAGCAGAAAATGCGAATATATGTGATTGGAGTTCAGTTGTATCTCAGATTCCAGAGAGTCTTATAGATTCAGAACAAAATCAACTTAATCAAATTGATCTGACTGACTTTAATGCTTTCGGTACTCCTAAAAAAGTTCAAGATACTCAATTGGTTTCAGTTCTACAGGATCTTGGACCCGATCAACACGATGAACTGTCATCAAATGACCAAGAAAAAATTAAAACCCCTAATATATTAGAACAGCGTACTAATTTGGGAACAGTGACATTATTCAAGCAGTCTAACAAGACGGAAGATCGATATAACGCTCACTTGTTAGTGGAACCTGTTTCTACGGAAAATATTTTAAATAACAATAATATACAAAATGATATTAAGGATGATTCAGAGTTATTTTCCAGCAGTTCACCTACGATTTTAAACCATATGAAACCAGATACAAAACAAACTAAATCAGAGGCAAAAGCTACCGAATTAGATTCATGTGTGCACAAAGCTGACAAATCCGATGAGCCTATCATAAATAAAGTCAGTCAGAATAAACCAACCCCAGAATGTCAGTCGTCAGCAAGTCTAGTAAACCCCGAAATCCTCCATGATAAAAATGAATCTCCCATTGCTAGTAATGGCCCTAAACAAACAGAAATCACTCCGCCTAAAGATAAAGCAAAAAAGCATAAGAACAAACATAAGAAAAAGAAAAAAAATGCTTAAACTCATACATACCACTCTATAGTCTCAACCAACTTTAATTTCATTTTATTCATTTACAGTGTGATTTTATTTTAACTTTGAAAATGTTTTACTTGCCTCTTATTGCCTAAAATAATAAAAATGATGTAATAATCTACAAACAACACATACGCAAGTGTTTAGTGATACACCTTATTACTATGTGCTTTTATTTATCACAAAACTGTATAAAATGGATAGAAAAGTCAATCTATTCTACTTTCTTCCTTACGCATTGAAGAATCTTGATGAATGTAGCCAGAAATTGATTTAAAAACCTACAGACTTTCTGGTAGATTAGATTAATCAACGTATCTACCACGTATTTGGGTGAACCTTATTTGATACTTGAGGGCCAATGATACTATCCGGTCAGGCAGAACGGGGTTCAAACCAGGGACATAGTGGTTAGGATTTAAACCCCTTAACCATTACGCCTTTACTCGCAACGTTGCCACGTTATGTCTAAAAAAGTTCATGGTAGTATTTTAGGGCTGTAATAATCTGGAAACTATAGTAATACAAACCTTAAAAGCAGTGGATCCAGGAACTATAAAAGTTACTACTGAAAGTCTCACTTAACAACTTTGTAGTAACTACGCAGTTCTGGATAGAACGCGTTTACTTTTGTGTTCTGCCCATCCAGAAACACTAGCTCTGAAACAAGTGGACACTTAATGCATGGGTATGTGTGATTTCAAAAAGATAGTGGTACTAAAATGACTTGCAACTAGAATGTACTGCCGGGTTGAGTCAGTTATGACCATATACTAATTATCTGAATTTTGCATTGACGTTTGATTTGCGGTGATTAGACTTTATTTATTTTAACACAGATATTGATACAAGGAGGCACCAAATACATATGCGCCACACATATCTCATTTGATATGTGTTAGGGCTGTGGTACTGCCTGGGTATCCAAACCGAAGCAGGTAGAATACTTACAATGTAATATTTCAGATTGACCTGAAAGGTAGAAACTAATAACAGAATATTATCGATGCATTGTATTTACTCATCTCTTTGATAACATATAATTCAGAACAAACAGATCCCAGTAGTTTGGTGTGCCGTTACTCCTATGAATTTGGCGGCCGAAACAATAGAGTCCAGGTTAAGCAATATCAAGGCCAAGAAGTGAATTTTAGGTTTTCTGATATTCACATAGCACTTAGATATAAAGTGTTCGAATAACCAAACTATGATGTACATTGCTTACGTACATCGATAACTATGGATATGTTCCATGTGTTTAAGCAATAGTCATGGCATATCATGCGAAATAAGATTAATAAGTTGCGACAAAACTATATGACAATACAATGTAAATACTTCGTTGACATGTTAGAGGTTAAGAAATAATAAATGTTATATATATTCCTAGTATCCCATAACATCTATATGTTCATAAGCAACGATCAGGTGTATACCTAATTCAGTGAACTACTACATGACCTAATAAATGTTACTTTGTTCAACTTAATCGTCGTTGTTATGAAGTTTGGTAGATTCAAACTATTTTAAGACTAAATTAAAACCTTAGTCTTACATTGTCTTTCAAACTACCGGGGTATGAATGCTATCAAGCTTAAGGTACAAATCTCTAAGTGTATTCATGAGATGACAGAGTTAAAGTCCATTTTTACGTGTTTGAACGTATGCGATCTGTCAAGTACATGTTAATCAACAGACTCTTAACTGCATAAAAATGTTTACGTGACTGTAATATAACCAATCTGTACATCATCACACCAGACCGAAGGGTACATTCGACATCACAGACCGTCACCTGGGACTGCGTGGTTACTCACAAATACGTTATTCTCAAACATTCAAACTAAATTCAGGCCCATGTGCGTTTAGCAATCTAGCAAGAAATACTCCCGGTAATTTATATAGGCAAAAGTACTGCTCCTATACTCCAATCAAGCCTGCACAGAAATTTGTGGTATTTACTAAGGTTCTAGAATCGAGAGCGGCCTAGTTAAACAGATTTCTGAGTAGAAATTATTAAGGCATATATCAGAGAAACCCTTATCAGACTGGACAAATGAAATCTTCACTAGACAAAAGAATGTCAGATATTTCTACGGATGACAAGTTAGCTAGAATTTACATAAGACTCATGAAAAATCTATGCACCCATCTACTTGACCAAATTATATTTACGAATGTACATAAATACAAAAAAGTAAGAGAGATTATTCACACTAGTTTATTCTACAGCATCATCGTTGGTTACCGAAAACGGAGTCTCCACAGGAATGTGTCCGCAATTCGCTATTTTGATGCTCTTAACAGGTCTATCTCTCGAATCCGTCGTTTCATTTTCAATCTGTCTAACAATATTCTGCAAGGTAATAACAAGACTAAAACCAACTAACCATTCCTTCTACAACTTTTCCGAAAACAACATGTTTTCCATCTAACCATGATGTCTTTATGGTTGTAATGAAGAATTGACTTCCATTCGAGTCAGGACCTGCAACAGTAATTTTAAGCGAGTAAACTTACCAGCATTGGCCATTGACAGCCAGCCTGCACCAACATGTCTCAATTTGAAGTTTTCATCAGGGAACCTATCACCATATATACTAAAACCTGGGAAAATTATTAGGCCAAGAGATTACCTCCAGTTCCATCGTGGTTTGTGAAGTCTCCACCTTGTATCATGAATGACTTAATGACACGATGGAAACCACTTCCTCTGTATGAAGCAGTTCGACCATCCTTCTAAACTCGAAGACGTAACAATACCAAGCCTTTCCTTACCAGTTGAGTGCCAATTGCAATTTGCTTGAAGTTTTCAACTGTTTTAGGCACTGTTTTACCAAACAATCCGATAATTATTCGACCAAGTGGTTTATGATCCACTTCAATATCGAAAAACACCTGGAGTTCGAAATATTCCGAATTTTCCAACCTTACTTTGTCAGTAACTTTAGGTCCATTTGCTTCACTGCGAATAAGACCGAAGCATAAAATAGACGTCAATAATAACGCGCACAGCAGTTTTAAAACAGCCATTAATCTATCTTTACGACTAGTCGGATTGCCGCGTACACAGAAATACAGATATAGCGCTATTTGACGCGGATGCATACAAACAATGACAGGTTCAAAGTGTTTTTTTTACTTGTTTTAAAGCAAGCTTTGATAAGTATCTGGTTTTTTGAATGAGTCAGATGACTATAAATGCATTTGTTTCAGAAACAAATATTTTTCGACGTTTTAGCCATTAAAACCGTCCTTACTGGTTTAATTGGAAAAAGCTGTGTCTCAGGATATCTGTTTGCCCATAACTTCGAACTACGAACCTAGATGAAAGGAAGAAGTAGGATGAATCGGTACCGAAAAAATTTATCAGTATCTTATACAGCTTTAAAAAAAAACACCTCGAAAAATCAAGTACTTATTTTTTAGGGGTCTTTACTCGTACAGTGTATATGGAGCCACACAAATGTGGGGTTCCCTAAAAATCATTTCAACTTGAATTTTATACGGCCATGAGCCTTCCAACCTCTGCATAACTTTGAAGATAAGTCGTAATGATATAACAAACGATTTACTTCAAGTTTGTGGTACTTATAGAATTGTTTTCTTGAGTGAAAGATTTCTTCACAATGTACATGAATTGGCCAATAAGACTTTCTTCATGGCCGGTTGTTTGTAGTCTTGTGTTCTTCGAACAACAACGAAATTACAAAACTCGACGAATTGCCGCTGTTTCCATGGCCTAAAGAGATACCGATGTTGACACAAGTTCTGTCATGCGAGCCTTGGTGAACAACATAATTACTATTATTAATTGCAGTCAATCAACCACCGATTTGTGATAAAAAATTACAAGATGAATAGTTACAAATGGTACGAATTATTACTGATATAAACTGTGAGAGCCTGTTGCTTGCAGTTACAATTGAACACCGTAGATTAATATCAGCGAAAAATAAGAAAGAGCGCCTGTACCTGCACCTGATATCCCCTTAAAATCCCTCGTGACACCAATCAGGGTACTTGACATGACTAGACCCAACGAAGAAAGATGCGTTTGCTCTGGAGGGTCTATTTTGTAAAAGGAAAAACCAAACCCGAATTCTTACAATGCAAATTTGTTAACAATTGTTTTTTTAATTTCCCAATCAACGATTTCGGCAATGGCTCAAATCAAGCTTATAAAGCTACGGATTGTAAAGTTTAGCCTGAGTAATGTTTGATAAGCAAACAGTTTGTGTCCTTCACAGATTTTTTGACTTGATTTATTCTAGATTAATTGTTAAGTCTTGTCGACCAACCTTACAGACCATGTGGCCTGATATTATTCTTCGTCCGGATAATTTCGATTAACCCATATTAATAGTTTTGTGATAAAGCATATGTCTGACATGTAGGTGACCAACAAGTACCTGACATTTCACTGGCGTCGATGCAAAATTTATGCTTAATCAGTGCGGAAGTTAAAGAGACGACCTAAGCCACGTAACCTTGCCATGATGGGCTATCTATATCATCGAGTTGATTTTTCCACATTGATTAGCCTTGATCCGGATTAGATTTCGTCAACGACTGTATGTTGGATGATCAGCCTTCCAATCTGAAGGTCGGTAAGACTTCAAGGATGGTTTAGCTAGGACTTGATCATATTTCTCTACTATAGTATGACACCGTGGTTAATAAATATAGTACTTACTTAAGTGTTTCAGCCCTCACTAGGAAGCATCGGCTGTTCGTCAAAATTCCTCAACTAAATCTTTCCTGAGTGATCCTTTCGAGTTGTTTCAAATTGTAGTATTATATTTAAAGTTGTGTATATAAAAATTCTTCCACGTACACTTTTGTGACGCATTCTTCCTGATTTATAAGATGTATATTTTATTGATCATTTAATTATATTTGCAATGGTAATATCTGCATTTTATCGCAGTTAATGTTTTTCCTAAATCTTTACTGAATTTCCATTTCTTCCTGAGATTCATATATGTTATTTCAGTTGATATTTGATTACAGCAGCAACCACATTGATTCCTTTCGTTTTTGTCTTTGTTGCTCAATTTAACCGTTGTTCATTATTTGATTATGAATTGAATCATTCTAAAAAATGGCAGCACTCCGTATCATAATAAAAATAAGTATTACCTATCGAACGATTTGCATGTAGTCTAATCAAAATATAGAGTAGCATTCCTGTGTCATTAATAACACTTATTTGTCTCATTAGGTAGTACTCTAATATCATATATCAATTTATCTTACATACTACTCGTCTAAGCCTATCACTCCTTGTGAAGGACCATAGGCCGCAACTCACCAGGATACTACATAAAACCCTGTCCTTAGCGATCATTCTCAGCTGTCTCCGGTTACCGTTTGTTCTTTCGATGTCTGCCTTCAATCGCCGATGCAATGTGTTCATGGACTGCATCTCTTCCTTTTCCCTTAAAGATTCCAAGTTTGCGTTATCTCATAACGCAATCTGATGGTTTTCGCAATTTACGTCTTATCCACTTCTAAACACTTTTCTAAATCTTCTCTTCAGCTGGAGTCCGGATTGTCCTTTCTCACAACAGGTTGATGCTGATATACATCAGATCTTCCTTATTTATCGATGATACTGTCCAGGTATGTGAAAGTTTCCACCTCCTCCAGAGCTTCTTCATCAAGTGTGACTTGATTGGCGCTCCCTGTTGTATTTCAGGATCTCTATTTTTCTTTATGTTTACTGAGATCTACCCATTACTACAACTCAGTACAGTTGGTAATGACTGCGCGCCGATAACATGTTTTGGTCTGGCTGCCTTCTCTTCATTTCGACGTACTTCTACGGCAGGCATCATTGTCCCTTGAAGTATGCGGCGACCGGGCATACGTAACATACACCCCAAATATTTAGTTGTTGGAAGTTGAATACATCATCAATCGATTTTCAATCCTTACTTAGCACTCCGTAGTCCCAAAACAAACGAGCAATGCTTCGAAAACATCTGTTATCGAATAATAGTAATCTACGAATATCCTCTACTCTTCACTTGAATTTGTTGGTGTATGGAATCGAAGAGCTAGGTCGTCTGTGAAGTTACATTCATCTAGGCACATCCGTATAGTTATGGTCTACTTCGGTATTAGTGCTACTATAATAATAGACCTAGTCGCTAATTGTAGTTATGTTATGATTTGACTATCTAATTTATAATATCTTACATGGAACTGGCATTGTCTATCATGATAATCCGCGATATGATATCTAGCACATTAAACGAACAGGTCCGAGCTAGGGGGGTAATACATTTGATGCAATGAGCGTGAGGTTACGTGACCGTGCCTATACGACCAAGCCATGTCATGCTGATTATTTTTTTGCTACGTACTACATTACGTATTTTAAAATACAAAGTTTATGTTTGACAACTTCTAGAATATTGCACGTTTATTCTTAGCAGTGCGCGCGTAAAAGATAAATTGAGGCTGGAATGCTTTACATTCAATCAAGTGATTCAATATGCAGAAACTTCCCATTATGACATCAGTAATTTTTTGGCACCAGTGAAACAAACTTATTCTAAATCATCTCTTCGAGGAATATGCCACTCAATGTTGACAAAATTGGATTTATTCACATTGGTCGCTGTCTTAACTTAAATCTGACTGTACAGACACATACACTCAAACCTCTCAACACTGTTCGTGACCTGGGTTTTAGATATAGCAACAGTCTGAACTTTTCTGAACACATTATATTTCAAGTATCCAAAGCTAGAAAGCTCATCGGATTGATAATGATAAACTTAAATAATATCGAATCGAGATTGTTACTATACAGAAAATGTTTCTTACCCATTCTTGAATATGGTATTTTAGTTTACAGTAATTGTAGACATAATGATCTGATTAGAATTGAAGGTGTTCAAAGAAAGTTCACCAAAGCTGTTCTGGGGTATTCTGATAACAAAGACTATTACCAAAGAAGTCAACAACTCAACTTAGAACCTCTTTGGATCAGACGTATCAAATTAAATCTTGTCTTTATCTACCGGCTTATGTACGGTATTTCCTACTCATCGGTATCCACCCCTTCATACCTTATGATATCATTCCATAATCTACGCAATAAGGAGAATATTCTAGCGATTCCAAGAACCCACACAAACTTACGTCAGAATTTTTTCCTTATTCGCTACTCAACCATGTGGAACAGACTGCCAGTGAACCTCCGTTGCAGTGAAACTACAACCCGGTTCAAAAGTCTCCTTGACGATTTCCTTTCCGAAAGTGGGTTATGTCACCTATTGAATATCAATGTATTCAATAATGATTTATACAAACAAGGTCCGTCATCTATTTAATTGCTTGGAAAGCAAAATGAAACCTTTAAATCTTTTCACGTCTATTTTATTTCTATTTATCTTAATGTATGAAATCTGCTTATGTTCGTGTTTATCATTATTACCGTTATTAATATCATTATTAGTTCCCCGACACATTAATTATTCTATTTATCTCTTCTTATCCTTCTAAACATATTTAACTCCAGATTGTCCTTTGAAATCAATTTTGACTTTCATAGCATCAATCTTAATTATTACTGCACAAATATTTATACTAATATCCGGTTTCACTCTGTATACTATTACATAAAACTAAATGTATTCATCCGAGTGCTTTAAAAGATTTTTATTTTTTCAATTGCTGGTTTCCTTCTGAGGTTGACATTCATTACACTATTATTATTCTTATCATGGATCAAAACTTTTCACCAAGTGTTCACTTCTTTTCTCTCTTCTTTCCCTCTAAATAAATATTATTCTTAAGAAGTTTGTAATTAAGACAATAACCTATGTTACACTTAAATTAAATTCTCAGACCCGTTTTATCTTCACTATGCATATATGACTCATACGTATTGATATTTTATTATCCTTTTCACTTAATTGTGACTTTCATAGCATCACTCTAAACTATAACTGCACAAACATTTATTCTAGCGTCATATCTTACTGTAATGATAAGTTATTTTTTATTAATTATTTTTTGTTACTAATTTAACGATACACACAGTAGTTTATTCTTGTTCTGTTTTCATAAACACGCCTATTACACAGTTTGCGTATTTCACG